ACTGAGCACAGGATTCAAGGTGTGGCCTCACCAGCGCCGAGTGCAGGGGCAGAATCGCTTCCCTGGTCCTGCTGACTATGTTGTGGATCATACTTTGGGTCAGAACCTCATCTCCTTATACAATGCAAAAGCACTTCCTTTTACAGTGAAACAACTCCATAAAGACTCGATATATTTCTGTCAGTGATGCCCAGCAAAACTAGGAATCCTTAGCTAAAGGCAAACCTAAGGAGCTCAGGAAAGCTCTACACACTCCTCTGAGCAGCATTTGTCAATGAATTTTGTGATACCAACATAACTTCAACAATATGTCATATGGCAAAAAGTTATATGCATTAGGAATAGCCTCAAAACACATAAATAAGGTCATGGATTAACCAAACCCCACTTAAGTGACAAAATTTACTTATACTCCGACAGGTCTCTGTCAGTGACACTCAGGGGAAGCTCCTGGAGAAGTGCTCAGGCACATTGTGAGCTTACAGCAGAGTCCCTGACTGCATGAAATTCTTGGCTCCTGGAAACACAACATAAGGCACTTTAGCCTAGACCTCTCAGTGGGAGAGGTACCAGATTAAGGCTGACATGTTTTACCTCCCATTTGCTGCTGATTAAGAGAATAAATGGGATCCTGGAGCACATCTTTTGGCTCAGTTTCAGTCAGAAGTAAACCAGTGTGTGTGCTCTGAAACCTGTTCCTGGTTGTGTCAAAACACAGCCAAGGGGAAAACTGAAACATGTGCTTCAAATGTACATACTACTCAACCAAACTAGGGCAGACAGGCCAAGGAGAGTCCTCCCACAGCGAACTCTGATCGCAAAATCTCATCCCTCAGAACTCAATTGATTTCAAGTACATCTCATGGAGAGTCCTAATATACAAAGCAAATGTTTCCAGGTACGCCTTCTGCAAACTAGAGCAGTTTTCCAGTCACAGCTGAAAAACAGGATGGTGACCTAAATTAATATCAGGTACAGCATCATCATGAACATATGAGGAGCAGCTGAGGTCACTTGGTGTGTTCAGCCTGGAGAAGAGGAGACTGAGGACAGAGCTCATGGCTGGATACAACTTCCTCAGGGAAGGAAGTGCAGGGACAGCACTGACCTCTTCTCTCTGGCCCCCAGGGACTGGACCCAGGGAATGGGCTGGAGTTGTGTCAGGGGAGGGTTAGGCTGGAGATTAGCAAATGGTTCTTCCCCCAGAGGTGTTTGGGCACTGAACAGCTCCCAGGGCAGTGGGCACAGCCCCAAGGCTGACAGAGCTCCAGAGGTGTTTGGCCAATGCTCTCAGGCACAGGGTGTGATGGTCAGGGATGTCTGTGCAGGGCCAGGGGTTGGACTGGATGATCCTCAAGGGTTCCTTCCCACTGATTAGTCTGTGATTCTGTGTATGACTTTTGTTCATTTAGGTGTAAGTTACAGATTTACTCAAGCCTTCAAAAAATCACAATCCTGATTTTCTATCGATTGATTCCAACAGTTTTCTTTATTTAAAACCAAGTATTAGTACATTTCTGACAGTTGCCCTCGAGAAGTTTTCAAGAGACTTACCTTTTCACCTTTGGGACCCTGAAAGCCCAAGCCCATGTAGCCCTGAAAATGTAAATGATCACACTTAGTCAATTTGTTTCAGCAGTGCACATATCCACACATATGAAGGCATTTGGTATATGTCAAAAGCTAAGAGAGAATATAAAAGACACACTATGTCTTTCAGTTGTATGTGTAGAACAATAAATAACCATGTCCCAACCTGGTTCTCTAAGCCTGTGTTCCAGCTACATATGAAAAACAAGAGGTTGAAATTCATCACATCATTTTATGGTCAATAAGCTCTTTTTTCCCAACACTTCAGTGAAAATGTTGGCATTTTAAAAGGAATTCAAATAGTCATAGAATGTTGTGATTACTACTGATTTGATCAAGTGAGATAACACTTTCTGGGAAAAAAAAAAAGGTGTTACAAGTCTCTCAGGCATAAGAATAGATCCTAAAGTGTAAATAAAACTCCACACCATTAGTGTCTGGAGACTTGGGAATGTGATATGCTAATGGATAGACTTAACGTCTGTAATAAAGAGTCTTACCTTCTCGCCTGGGAGTCCTGGTGGCCCTGGGGGACCCTAGGAGACAGTACATTTTAGCAGGTAGGTATGTGTAGCACACTAGGTGAAATAGTGTCCTACTCTGTAAAGCAGCAGAACTGCAAAGCTTTCCATCAAACTAAGATAAAAACTCATTTTGTGCTACTGTGAGCAATTAACAACTCAGAATGAATGTCTGAGCTATCCCATCACACTTTGCTTGGCACCTAATCAGCAGCTCCACCAGAGGCAATCAGGAAAAGCAAATGGCACTGACTGTGAAATATCTTTACTGCTGACTTTTTTTTTTCAGTTTTACATTCTAAATACTTATCCTCACCTTTATTTCATTAAGGCTGTTCTTTTTCACATCAGCAGGTGCAAAGACTGACTGACCTGCACCACCATTTCCCTGTACATCTCTTGCAGCTTCCTTCTGAAGGGCAAGAAATCTCACACAGCTCACTGTGATGGCCAGAAGCTGTGAACACAGCTCACTGTGATGGCCAGGGAAATGACTAATCATGCCAAAGTCACCAGCACAGGAAGACAAGATATGAGGTATCTGCTAGACCTGTCAAACCTCAAACAGCTGAAATGCCTTCAGCATTTGGCAAGTCCCACAGTAACAGACAGCTGATATCTTCACACAGGACTGCTAAGTGTGGCCACCCACAAGAACAAGCTCAGCAAACATTTGCTTTGTGCAAACCTGGCTGGTAGGTTGGCAGTTTATTTTCTGTAAGTTAAGAGGGGAAAAGAGGAATGACAATTACAGACTCTTCCCCACAAAAATACTCTCGAAGACTGCAAGAAGAGATGATGACTCTAGGAGCAGCTGCTATTGAAAACCTATTGTTACCTAGGAATTCCCACCATAGTAGAGTTCACAAGGCCAAACATGAAGCCTGGAACCACAGGCTGTATTTCCCAAATCCCAGCAAACAACTGCTAGACCTGTCTAGAACACTCCTGTCATAAAGCTCTATAAGTCAAGTGAAAATCCCCATGAGAGGAAACTTACTGGCTCTCCTGGAGGACCTTGTGGCCCCATTGGTCCCTGAAACCCTGAAGTTCCAGGTGGTCCCTATGAGGAATTCAAGAGGAAAAATTAAGAAGTGATAGATATTTGGTGATTTCATCACAGTGATATAACTTCATTTGAAGCTCACTGCTATTCCAACATCATTCAGACTTACAGGCAGTCCAGGCTGGCCAGGAAATCCTTTATCACCTTTGAGCACACCAGAAGGTATGAGACCAATCACTTCACCTGGGTCTCCCTATGGTAAGAAAAGGAAAAGAGCAACACTTGAACATCAATTCAAGTACCTTCAAAAACACTAACATTGAGGTGAAGGTTGGAGCTATACATGGTTTGGAATGAGGTGGAAAGCTGACTTATAGAAAATCACCTTATTTCTTTTAGTTCAGCTGAAACAGAGCAAGAGATATTCTAAGTTAAGGCCTTAATTGCCAAGTGTCCCTTAAAGTCACTTGAGGAGATTCCAGGCCCAAACCTTTGTACCCTTATTTCTATACTGTACATCAGAATCATTTTCCACCAAATTTATCACTGCTGCAGTGTCACACACGGCTGGAACATCTGACCTGGCTGCTGAGAGAGGTGGCAACCCCACAATCTCTTTCCCAGGCTGAGATCTTCATGCTTGCACCCGATTTTGGCATGAAAACCATTTATGCAGCCCCTTTTCTTCAAAACAGAACAGGAATCTGCTTGGCCTTAGGTCAGAAAACCATTCTGATCATTATCCACTTCCTTATGTCTCTTTTTGATAGTAAAAATCCCATTTTTTCCTGCATCTTTGTACACAGTTGCAACACTGTAAGTGATTTAATGTCAGAAGCTGTTACCTATGGAAAGGAAAGGAACACTCGAGTGCTCCAATATCTGTAGACTAAGTCAGTTCTTCCCACATGGCAGTGGGAGAAAAGAGCATTTCATGAGTAGGGGAGTTATCACAAATCTGAGGTTACATCTACACTTCTATTCAGCTTACAGTTCCAATAGCTGGAGTGCAATATATACATGATGGATATAACATAGAGAATTAATATTATATGCATGTAATAGATACGATTTACATATAATATCTATTACATGTCTATAATATATACGTAATATACATAATACACATATTGTATATAATGAATACAAAGCTCTCTTCAAAGAGCAAAAGTTCTTTGTTGCCATTCAGTGCTTCATTCTCCCGTTCCCAAAATGCACTCAGACACCTAGTGGTTAGTTTTCCTTCTTTATGAAAACTCTCTAGCATGTGTTGGATCCTTCTCATATTGTGGCTTTCTCCCAAACACCTTATCTTGCAAAACTACTTAGAGAAAACTAATGCCAATAGGAAACCAAAATGTTCTGATCATAAAACCTATCTCATAGAGTCATAGAATCAGCCAGGTTGGAAGAGACCTCCAAGATCATCGAGTCCAACCCTACTGTGGTTACTAGACCATGGCACTAAGTGCCACATCTAATCTCATCCTAAAAACCTCCAGGGACAGTGAATCCACCACCTCCCTGGGCAGCCCATTCCAATGCCAGATCACTCTCAGTAAAATATCTCTAATATCTAAATTTTTATGCACAATTAAGTGGCCACCACAGGGTTTGTATATAACTAATGATACGTACTATTTTTTCTGTCCTAGTCATGTTGTACTTACACTTTTAAGACCTGAATGGAATAGTATAAATGGTATAAAACACCTATACTATATGTATACCAATGGCACAAAACCTGTCTGTTCAGCTGTCGTTAACTGGAGGTCACCCCACTGTCTTTGTCTCATGGGGCTGCAGAGCAGAGCACAAAGTGGCACAAGGCAGCATGATTTTCAGTCTTAGAGGGTGTAGAGTTCACCCAAGTTCTTCTCATTAGAAGCAGAATCTGAACACAGAGTAAAATGTACCTTCATTCCAGGAGGTCCTGGGGGTCCCTGCGAAAAAAAAAAGGTATTTGATGTTATTGCTGATCAGTGCTGTATATTTTACATCTCATTGTCTGTATCATTTCCTACAGTCATGTTCACATTTTAAGAATCAGGGTTGATAAAAGGGAATCGAGCAGGAAAGAGTTTACTTACTATACTCCCAGTCAGTCCTGGTAAACCTGGGGGACCTACTGGGCCTCTTTCACCCTGAGGGGAACAGACAAATCAGTTTAGGGAACATGGTGGGATGTTCCTATTTCATCACAAAGATGCTGTTACCAGCACAAGGAAATGTCACCTTTGTGCCATTGCATCCTGGGATGCCAGGTGGACCAGGAGGACCATCTTGTCCAGGAATACCCTACAGGAAGAGAAAGCAAAGCAATTAGAGTCCAAGTCAGATGTCATGACTGAAACTTTGCTGTTCTTTGTAACAATACACATATTTGATACCTACAGGAAGGCCTGGGTTTCCTGGGAAGCCTGAGACTCCTGGGGGACCCTGCAACAGAGAAACACATACACTGAAAAGGCAAATCCACAAAGCAAGGCCAAGCTGCAGCCCAAGTTGCATCTCCAGTGACGACAGTCAGAAAACAACCAGCATTTAAACTTCCTTGACAAAACAGATCTAATCTTCAAACCCTCTCAAACATCTTACCTGAGCAATCAATAGCTGAAAGCAACTTTTTACATTCCTTTAACTTTTTAAGCAGTAGGAACTAGATCAGAGCCTTATGTACAGATGGAAGTGAATGCACAGGTGGTGTCTTCTCACAACCATCATTCCCAAAATGAAATTTACTGTAGGCATCTCTTCATAGAACCATCCAGGTTGGTAGAGATCATCGAGTCCAACCACTAACCTGTCACTGCTGGAACCCCTAAACTCTAAACTAGATCCTCCAGTGCCAGACCCAGACTCATCTTAAACACCTCTAGGGATGCTGACTCCATCACCTCCCTGGGCAATATTCCAGTGCCTGAGCACCCCAACAGGAAAAACATTTCTCCTAACATCCAATCTGACTCAGCTTATAACCATTCCCTCTAGTGAGTCCCTCCCTTCCTAGCAGAAGATGAGGTTAATGCACCATAAAGATGCTTCTCTGTCTTTCAGACTCCTTGTCAGCACATCAATTCATCTTTATTATCAAAAAACCTACCAGGAGAGAGAACTCTTTCTCCTTGAACAGTTTTTCAGGAGTTTAACTCGGCATATCATTTTCGTTCAGTCATCTCACTTATCCATCCAGTATTCCCAATACAATAAGCAGAAAATATGTATGGGATTCCTGAGCTTGGATAGTGTATTTGCATCTTCCAGAACTTTATAACTGCTAAACCACAGATTACTTGTGCTGCAGCACACAAACACATTCACCAGGAGATGCCAATTCTTGGGATACCCCAGGGTATATTACAGTCATCATGGGCTGAAATGAGGATTCCTTGATCTAGCAGAACAACTTCTCTGTAACAGCTCATAAACTGCAGGTGGTTCAGTAAATTCCCTGTGCTGCAGCAACTGCAGGCAAAGGGAGAACAAAACTGAGATGCCTTTGGACAATTTGGGAGGAAGAAGGTGTAGCTAGAAATCTATGCATCATAACTGGTCAAGTCATTTGAATCATGAGCATCTCCTTGTTATCATCATGATGTTATGGAACACAAAAATGCCCAGAATGTGCTTGGCACCTCACAGAACCCCAAAAGACACGGCCCTGGGTAATAAAACGTGCTAAAATACATGTTATATAAGGGCTCCATCAAACAGAAATGAAAACAGGAAGATCACAGACACATTCAGAGCCTCTGCCAGCAAAGTCAGGAGATCTTTGTCCCTGGCTCTAATGTGGCTCTGCACCTTGTGCCCATTTTTAACACATAAGTGCTCATGAGTGTGCCAACTTCTCTGCTGGAGAAGCGCTCTGAGGAGGTTTGATGGTAAACATAAAGGAGAATTTTGCAAGAGGAACTAAGGTTGCTTCATATTGACACTGGGAAAAAGCCTTTTGGCATATCAGAAAGATATCAAAGGCATATCACAACCAGAGCTGTAGGTACCAGGTAGAACTGCAGATGGCTAAAGGCACTGGCTGCTCAGTGCAGCAGCAACTCAAAGGCAAAAATGAGAAGCTTGAAATTATTCTGCAGCACAAGGGGATGTCACTGATTAGCTCAAAGAAGAGACTAAGCTCCTCTTGCACTTGAAGGCAGCCAGGGAGAGTTAAAGACATATAAACCCAAAGACATCAGAATTATAGCAAAGGAAGCTAGAACTCACTCTGGTTCCCTTTGTTCCTGGCAGTCCTGGTTCTCCAGTATCACCCTGAGAAGGAAAAGAGAGAGCTTTGTCTTTTACTGGGACAATGATTTAGGGAAATCTGAGTGTTTCAAAGACTAAAGCTGAGTCCTTACCTTAAGCCCTGGTGGCCCAATAGGACCTTCAGGCCCTTGCATTCCAGGAAACCCAATCACGCCCTGCAGTCCCGGCAAGCCTCGTTCGCCCTGGGGAAGAAGAAAACTCATTAGCAACTATACAACTGAAGCTGCTTCTCAAGCAACTCACATATCCTCTGTGTCTGTACTCAGGAAACCTGTTAGGTGGTAAGACATGTGGCAGCAAAGAGTTTATGTTGGTACTTGGAAGAAGGATCATTGTAAAACAAAGACGTTCCTGGTTCAGTAATAGATTAGCAGTGGCTGAATGTGGCACAACAGGAAAGTACTCTTGGAATGTCAGTGACACCTTTTTTTCTGTCTCCCTGGATAGCACTTCTCATAGCACTTTTATGCTCCTGGGTTCAAGAAGGTCATTTTCCATCTAATAAAACATACCTGTGTTCCTAGAGAGATCCTGCTAAGCCCCAGTAGGACCAAACCAGCAGCTAAACCCCTGAAAACTACAAATATCATGTCATATCCATTGCTCATAACAGCAGGTCTGGAGCTCAGGTTTGTCACTTCAGCTTGAGTTTCAGGGTGGTTCATTGGATAGTCTGAGACAAAGGACCTTCCTGAGGAGCTGAACACACAGACTGTATGTGGCATCCTCTAGATTCTTCTCTAATGCTGTATGGGACATCTGTGCACTTGGAGGCAGAAATCCACTCAGTTATTATCTATTCACTGTGTTTGGACTCCCAGTGGAACCTAGAGGAGCTGTTTGAATAAAGGCTGCAAAATCTACACACAGGGAGAAGGGAAAAAAAGTGTGCACGTCAATCCCTGGAAACAGCAAATCAACCGACTCAAAAGCCACATGCTCTATGGAGGAAGTAACCAGAGTTGACCTTTCAAGGTGTGATGTGAAACAAGGAGAGACACTTCATTTTGTCAAAAACTGAGGGAATATTGAGTGGATAAAATATAAGTGAGCGACTGCAAAAAGAAGTTCTACAAGTAAAACAGCTAAAACACATGGTACCTGGTTTAGAAACTCAAGACACAGCAATTCTAAAAGAAGAGCAGCAAGAAAACAAAACCAACAAGGTTAAAAACACACAGATGGAAGCTACACAAAGATTTCAGGGTTTGCAGCAGAACAGTGAGAGATGGAGATGAACATGAAACTTTTCTCCTGTATGCTCAGGACAAGGATTCCCAGCAATAAGCTGCTACTCAGAGAGGTCAGCTGAGGACTGAGCAACATCTGAGTCTTGGAGAGTTCATTTGTCAAGGAAGTCTAAAAGGCATCTTGCAAAGGAAAAGCTGTGCCAAGAAGGCAGAGGACAATGAGTGATAACTAACAGACATGGTTCTGGTTCCAGTGCCGGAAGGTGAGAGGAACTGGAAGATTTGTGGAGTTACTGGGTTGGTGTTGGGGTTTATTTCATTGTCTGGAATTTTGTTGAAAGGAAGAGACAAGGGAGAGGAGATATTATTGATGGGTGAGAAGAGCAGGGCCAAGGAGGAAGGAGAAAACTAGAACTGAGATGGTAAGAGCATGAGAAAGTGAAATCAAAATAGCACTAATTTATTAAAAGTTCCTGCCAGAAAAAAATTCTCCTGCTGCTTCTCCTCTCTCTCCTTCCACAAAAATGAATTCTTCAATAGGACAGTTCTTTCTGAGGCAAACAATCAGTTTTCCCTAAGTGCTGAAGTGCCATGATATCCTCTACTTACTCCCCAGTACCTTTTGTCATGGTTAAGGGCAAAGCTTGCTGGTAATCCCAAACTGAAGCAGTGTGTCAGAGCAGAGAACACAGCACAGCAAAGCAAACATCCCAACAGCTGAGGAAATATGTTTGTAGGTCAGCTGAAAGAGGTACAAAGTCCAAGTTCTGAAGTAACTAAAATTGATTTGGAAAACATTTCAAGGAAGAATGGGTCATGATCCAGGTTTCTTGAAGTGATTAACAGTCTGAAAGATACCTGTAATGCCAAACAAATTACTGGGGTTCATAAGCCCATCCTTCGGCTAATTGGCACTGCTGGCACCAGGGTGTTCCTGCAAGCTCAGCTGTTCTGTCACTGCAGACCAGGATGTCACACTGCACCCTAGGCACTGCTCTCCTGACCTCTGGGAGGAGAGCTAAGGAGGGAGAAGACACCCAAGAACATACAACAGGCTCTTCCACTGCTGAAGGAATGTACAAAATGTGCAAATAGGAAGAAAACAAGATGATTTTGACACCCACAGAGAAATATGAGTCATGTGTAGCAGATATGAATCATATCAGTGACATGTAACATGATTGATGCTTTCTGCATTCCAAAGTTCTGTCCATCTGAGGATTTCGTCACTTTGAACCACTGCACCCTGCAGCACAGGGAAATAGTCTTTCTTAAGGAAAAATAAAGCTGAGCTTTACAGATTGGATTTGCACTTGGCCTAGGGCTCCCTTGAGACTGTTCTGGCACAGTGAAGGTGCTGTAACACGCCTGTAAATCACTCACTAAGGTAGCAACGCCTCCAACTTGCCAAGGAGGTTAACTAGAGGCCTAAAACAAATAAAAACTTGGGCTTCCAAGGCAACTACAGACAAACCTCTCAAGGCTGTCTTCCACCTCCCAGGCTGCCCTCTCCGAGGGGTAAAACAGAGCTGGAGGAGCAGAGTCCATACCATACCACGTCACTTCGATACATCCAGGTTTCCCTAGAAACATTTGCTTTTAGTGGCTTGAACTGTTAGGCCAACCAGAAAAGCCACTGGCTATTTGCACAGAACTTCTGGCCATCCAGTCAAACTACCAGTGTTCCACAGCCCAGGAAGTATAACTCCTGAGTATCTGGGGCTGTGCCATCCCAAATACTGCAGACTCATGGTTTCTCCTGCTGGAACTGAGCTCATCCTTTTGCCTGTGGTTTGTGAGAGGGAAGTAAGGAAACACAAAAGCAATTGTGTGTGAGTTGCCTGATCCCTCTCTGCACACAACCTACCACCTTGGCTGCTGATTCTAGCAGGGGAGTGCACACAGCACACACCCCTCCCTCTGCTCTGTCTTCTCATTTGATCTTACTTCAAAGAAAGTTCAAGGTGAATAGTCCAAAGTATTGGGTAAGGAGCCCAGATTTCTGCAGTTTCAGGCTACGCAGTCAAGAGGACTTAACTCCTCCATGGAAACTCAGAGAAGTTAGGGCAACCTACTCCTCCAAGACCCAGTAACAGACCTAGGGGTGTCTCCTGGGTTCCAGCCCCTACTTGGAACTTCCAGCTCAGATGGAGCTGTCACTTATGATGCTGTATATATCCTGAAGATGCCTTGCATTGCAAGGAAATACTTGAGCAGCATCCTTTCCCTGCTTGCCTGCCTGATTCCTTCCCTCACTCAGTGTCCCAGCCAAACAGCCCAACAGCTAATGTTTGTGCTACATTTGTGCTGCAACTCATTAAGCACCCACACTGCACAAACTGGCAAGCACCAGGTTACTGCTGCTACCCCACTTGTTTCTCGCTCAGCGCTGAGGTTTCTAGCTGTGATGCATGAAGAGGATGAGACTGACTTCAAGGGCTATGTATTGTTCAAGTTCCAACCTTCACAGCTGCAAAATCTTGGCAAGGGATATTGAAAGAGCTTCTGCTTCTTACAACAATTCATGAGGCTCAAAAATTAAAACAGATGTAACCAAATCATCTGTACCTCTGCTGATTCAATGCAAACTGTCAGAAAGCACAAAGGAGAATTCATTACTCAGCTCATAAAAATTAATATTCAGCTGCTGAAAATGTGGAGGTGCTATAGAAAAAGTAGCTCGGTCACTGTGGTACTCATTTCCTGAGCAAGTTGCCTGTGCTAGCCCAGCTTTTGGGAAATGCCTTTGGATTAGGTAGTTCAGATTAAAAGCAATTCAATGGCCTTTAAACAGATGTGGAACTGTTAGGAGCTTAGCTGCATGGGTGATACTTTTTGCTGGCACCTACCCTTTCAAATTAGCCATGAAATGCTGTTTGACACAGAGAACAACTGCAGAGAGCAAAGCAAGAGAGTCACATGAAGCAAGTAGCTTCAGAAGATTCAGCTGTAATACATCAAGTGCTGAGGGGGAGGAAATAATCACCACCCCATTATAAATTATTTCCCCTATTCCTTTGCCTAGGGACTGCTGGACTGGGAGGTTTTAGACTTGAGAGACTAGTAACGTGGATATAAATCAACTGGTCCAGAAGTTAGGGCTCACAGGGTGTCTGGGTCTGCACAAATATGATGTTCTCAGGCTCTCCAGAGACTCAGGCACATGATGAATAACAATGTGCAGGTCTTCCCAAGGCCATTTCAGTATTTACCTCTGCCAGTGACTGCCCTGCAGCTCAGACAGCAGGACAGACGTGTCTGCCCTTCAGCTGCAAAGCCATAAGTCTCAGACTTAAGGAAAGATATCACAAGGCAGCTGAGCTGATCTACCCAGCAAAGGTGGCTCTTCTACTCCTCCTTTTAAAGGGATGGTGCCACCTCACCCTTGTTGACACCAGCTGGTATGATTCCTTCGCCCTCCACTGCACCAGTTCAGCTCACTAGAATTGTCTCCCTTCTTTTTAGCGTGTGAGCTTGCTCTGGCCTCTGTGGGCCGAGGAGCTCATCAGGTGGCCAAGGCAGCTGCCAAAACCCACGTGAGAAGGACATAGCAATGCAGGACACAGGATGGAAAGGCAGCAAGAGCAGTTTCTCACACCAGCGCAGTGGGGTTTGCTGGAGTTCATCCACCACAGCTCCTCAGCTGTGTTCTCACTGCAAGGGAAACTGAGCTGGAAGCCAACAAACCCTTGGCCTTGCTGGAGAGTTGTCTTCAGACCAGTGTCGCTGCTGACTCAAATGTGTTACAAGCTCAGAATTCCTCTCCCAAACGAAGATTCTTCCTGTCCGCAAAAGTTAAAGTTCATTGAACTGAAATTCCATCAAGGGTATGTCTGGTGAAGAAATGCAATTGCTCCAAGACAAAATTGAGGCTGCAGTTTCCAAAAAGAGAGAAATAGAGCCTAGCTACCCACAGGAAAACCCGTCACCCAAAACACTCATCACACCTTGATGCTCCAGTGTGACCTCAAAACCCACTGCAACAGACAACAGCCTTGCAAGGCACTAGATGGTTCCTACCCAGACTGTACCGAAGCCACACGAGAGGTGAATTTGTTCATGCATTTGTTCCTTCCTCTGTTTTCTTTCAGCTGATGTAACTGTGAGCACCTTGGTGAACTGCCTCCAAGGTTTGGAGCAGTAATTACACCGCACAGTGGGAAACACTACTGTAGCCCTCTGCAGTCGCTGTGTTTCTCTCCACATCCTTTCAAACACGTGTCAGAGAACTGTAACTGGGTCAGTGTTACAGCAGCGAGCACAGACAGGTGGGAAACATCCAAGTCTCTGTTAGAAGAGTGTCTCGAACCAGCAGAGGGAGCATCGACCCTGGATATAGTTCAGGAAGAAAATAAACACGTACAATATCATCTGTTTGTCCTCAGCTGCACTTCCCATTTTCAGTATTTGATTGAAAGTGTGAAGCGGATATCAGTCAAACAGAATCACTGCTATATGCTCACGGGGCGACGTGT